TGGTATTAAAAGTGGATTACCTATATTGCTTATATTGCTATTTAAAGTAGATTAAATATATTGAAAGTAGATTGCTATGATAGGTATGTTGAAATTTTAGACTTATTGTTCTTATTAATTATAGTTGGACAGGTTGGTTGACTTCTTATAGTCTTCATACTATCGATTTTTAGTTAAAAAAAACTATTGTATGTTTATTATTTTTTTTGTAGGTTAAAATTGAACATGAGTATAAGAAAATGTTGGACGAGGTTGGTGGTGATGAATCAAAAGTCAAACAGCTAGAATGCTTGGCTCGTGTACTTGGAGCAAGGAGAGGTCATACACGGGATGTTGGTCGAAAAGTGAAAAATGTAGCACCTTATAATATCCCCGACTCCTTCAACAAATAATGTAGACCTCAATGCATTTGCTCTTCAGTTGACTCAACAGTTTAATCAACAAATGCAACAAATGTTAATGTCTCAAAATCCAAACGCCCAGCCTCCATCACCAGTTCAATTCAATATTGATCTCTCACAAGTAAAACTTCCGAACAGATAAGTGATATATAATGATGATGCTCAAAGTGATGATGATCAAAGTACTGATTGACAAATTTCTAGTGGATCAGATTAAATTAGGTAGTATTTGTAATTCTATGAAACTTTTATACATTTCAAATGAATGTTTTGATATATGTATTGAGATTGTATTATATTTTAATGTTTTGAGATTATATTGTATTTTAATATTTTTCAATTAAATTTACCGATTTAGCTATTTTGTAAATTTACTGTTTTAAAATTTTGGGAAATTATAGTGGTTAAAAGGAGCTATATGGGCATACCTATAGAGACGACATGTCGTCTCTACAAATACCTATAGAGACGACATGTTGTTTTATAGGGGAATCTATAAAGACAACATGGCATACCTATAGAGACGACATGCCGTCTTTTCAGATGCATCAACCACTACGAAACACTGTTGCTATAGGGTGGCTGCTGCCCACTATGTATCCATCTATGGAGACGACTCATTGTGTCTATCGTTGCATCTATGGAGACGACAAGTCGTCTCTATAGAGACGACATGTCGTCCCTATAGCTTTATCAAAGGAGACCAGCAAACTTATAGCGACGAATCAGAATAGGGTGACATATCATCACCAAAGGCTAGTAATTGCGACAAGTTTTTTAGTGACGACAATACAGAGCTATTGCGACTGGCCTATAGAGACGAAAGCTATAAGGACGACATATCGCCCCAGAAACCTATAGGGACGACTTTTTGAACCTATAGAGACAACAATTGTCGTCCCTATAGTAGGGGTGAGCATGGTGCGGTTCGGTGCGGTTTTTGATCAAAACCGAACCGAAAACCGCAACTTCGGTTTTTTGAAATTTAGAAACCGCACCGTTCGGTTTTATGCGGTTCGGTTTTTGCGCTTTTTTATTGCGCTTTTTTGCCCTGTTTTGTCTTTTTACTAAAACTCAAGTAAGCGAGTTACTTTGACTCAGATGAGGAGTGTTAATCATTTATTTGAGATAAAACCAATATATACCACTACCTCTTGGTTTGAAATCAAATTATATAACCAGTCATTCAACATGTTTCTAATGCTTCAATATAATAGGAATTTAATTTAATATTTGTTTCAAAAGTACATACGATAATATCAATTAATGTATTCATAAAAATGATACTATATCACTAGTACTGTTCATATTTAAATGTTAAAAAAATATCATAAACATTATTTGTTATTGTAAATACCACTGAATGTATGCTTAAAAATATACAATTATCCTCCGATAAATAAAATAGATATTTACATTTATAGTAATTTTAATTGTCATAGGTTCTTAGTTCTTATAAATATCAATACTCAATATATATATATATATATATATATATATATATATATATATATATATATATATATATATATATGCGGTGCGGTTCGGTTTTTTGCGGTTTTTGCGAGACTAGAAACCGCACCGCACCGAGTATTTTCGGTTTTTGCAAAACTAAAAACCGCACCATCGGTTTTCATTTTGGTTTCGGTTTTTCGGTTTCGGTTTATGCGGTTTTTTCGTTTTTTTTGGTTTACGGTTCGGTTTTTGCTCACCCCTACCCTATAGGTCTCGTTTGTTGTAGTGACAATGCTATAGTGTATATGCAATAATGTGTATCATGTAGTTTGGTTATAGTTTGATATGTTGGTATTTTGTAGTTTGGTAATTTTTTGGAAAGTACAATGCTATAATGGAAAAAAAATACAATGTTATAATATATATGCAATATTGTGTATCATGTAGTTTGGTTATAGTTTGATATGTTTGTATTTTGTAGATTGGTAACTTTTTGGAAAGTACAATGCTATAATGTATATATTGTGCATGATGTATGTTTAAGTGTATTTAGAAAGTAGAATGTTATAATGATATATTAGTTATGGCTTGACATGTTGGTATTTTTTTATTTTGGTAATTTTTTAAAAGTACAATGCTATTATGATATGTTGGTAATATATTTCCCTTTCTTTGTAGTTGGAAATGCTGCAAATAATACTAAAGGACCCGGCCTGTTGTGCGGAACTGGAAGACTAGTTTCACTCATTGCCGCCACAAAATGATAACGAATGAAACGATGAGAGTGATGAGGACGAGTAGCTACTTTATTGAGATTTTATGAAATGTTTTGTCTAAGTTAATATTTTGGATATATTGCACTTTGTGTGGATGAGTATTTGGTTTGAATGAATACTTGGACCGTCTATGTATGTTTGTGTATGGACTAACATTTCAACAAAATTAAGTTTTGTAGCAGTTTGTATGTATGTTATAGGAATTTATATATTTTAATGTTAAATTAAAAAAAAAAAACATAAAATGTTTTTAGCCGCAACACCTATGTATTAGCGACAACTCATTAGCGGCGACAGGTAATACTAATGGCGACGAGACATTAGCGGCGATAGATAGTATTTACGGCAACATATGTAGCAATTGCGACGAAGCAACAACGACGATCCTTTAGCGACGGCATGTCGCCGCAAATAGCTTTGGCGGCCACACCTCTTGCCGCTAATGCTCACATTTATTATTTATTGTAGTGAAATGTTAGTTAGTGTTATTATTGAATTCCCGTATTATAAGATGATTTTATGTTTATCGTTGGATATTGTTAAATAAACTTTTGACTAAACTTTAAAGTCATGTACATGGTTAAAAAAGTATAAATCTTCTTCTTTTCCTAAAAAAACAAAGTATACATCTTCTATACTTTTTGAGATTACTCACACACAAAATTTCAGGAGTTTTATATTGTTTATTCAACATTATTTTATAAATCAATATTTTACACCATTTTTTACATAATTGTTAAGTGTGATTGGTTTGACAAAAATAAAAAATAAACAAACGTAATGAGCAAGAATTAATGCATTCAAATTGCAATATTAAGAGAGAGAGTCCCCATCTCACAATGATAGCTAGAGATATTCCTTTCACATGTAATTGAATGCATAATAATAAAATTCTCAACAAATATCTACAAATTTTTTTTAATGCATGTCTACAAATTTTCAGAAATGCCCACCAATATTTCAAAAAGTACATACCGATCCTCAAACTTATGTATTTACCAATATAAACACATTGTTTATATGTATTGTCAAAAATGTTGTTATAAGATTTGCTAAAATAGGAGTTTTAAACATGTACTTATCTTGGATGGTTTGTTGATGTCAAAACATGATTAAGGATGTAATGATTTATTATTTAATTGAATTGTGTTTTGGTCACCTTTAAATTAGACCTTTTAAAATTAACGTTATCAAGAACAATGTACAATGGAGAATTAAGAGTAGTGTAGGAATAAAATATATTTGTTGTTCCAAAAAAAAAAAATTATTATTACATTAAAGACAAACAGCCATATTGTTATTGTTTTTAATTTTACCACTACAACTTCGTAAAAAAAGATTTATAATCTCAATTATGGTCACATAAATAACACTTTTTTTTTGTTTTCAATAAAATTTTGTTACCAAGTAGGAATGTTTTAATTATGGAAAAAAAAAAGCGAGTATCAAGTGGTTTGTGCTCAAATTTTATTAGTTAGAATATGTAAAAATTAGTTGCTAGTGGTGTATGTTGTAATAGCTCATTTTAACCCAAATCATAATATTTAATGGTTTGCAAATATGATTGATACTACATTTTCGTATTCATATATATATATATATATATATATATATATATATATATTATATATATATATATATATATATATATATATATATATATATATATATATATATATATACACACACACGGCAGAATGGTTCTTGTCTATTTCTATTTGAATTCACATAAAAAACAATAATCCTCATATAACAAAATAATAGTATTCATTAGACTTCAAAATCGTGTCTTCTATTCTTCTATTCTTCTATCATCATTCCATATTCAAGGGTATTTATGCAAAAGAGTTTCCTTATACAAGATAACTTGGAACCTAAGTAAGAGATAATGACTGATAATAAATAATATTACAATTTAAGTAATATTCAAACAATGATTTAAAACTTGCCTAATATCTTTAAAACTTAAATAATACAATGAAAAATATACCATCAATTATTCACCATCTTGACACGCGATTATAATACATAACCGATTTTACAAATATCCCTCAACCAAATTAATTTGTTTAATACAACAAATTTTTACTAAAAGATTTTATAATATATTTTTAATTGAAAGAGACATAAAAATAATATTTAATCTTGCCAAAATAATGGTATAATAAAATTGAAGAATAAATTAATGTAAACTTATGACTTTGACAATTAGTCTGATTTTTAATTTAAATTCTTTTTGCGACGTAAAGTTAAAGGACGTAATTCGTTAAAAACATTTTAAAGAAGGATCAATTTTGTAAAATTTAAATAAATATAAAAATAGAGTCCTACACACGCAAGGTCTCATCTCCCTATAAATAGAAGAACCCAACTATTCACGTAAATCAGAAGTTTTCTAGTTTTCTTAAAACTCTAACTTTGGGTTTTTCTTTCGGTTCTCAATCTCTTCCCGTCGTTCGTTATGGCGACCTCGTCTTCAAAGAAGATCGTTCTGAAAAGTTCCGACGGTGAGACGTTCGAAGTTGATGAGGCGGTGGCGGTGGAGTCTCAGACGATCAAGCACATGATCGAAGATGACTGCGCTGACAGCTGCATCCCTCTACCCAACGTCACAAGTAATATCCTCTCGAGGGTGATTGAATACTGTAAGAAGCATGTTGAAACACCGAACACCGATGATAAGACAGCCGCGGAAGATCTGAGGTCGTTTGATGCCGAATTCGTGAATGTCGATCAGGGCATTTTGTTTGATCTTATTCTGGTTCGTAATTCTTTTTATTAACGTCAATGTTATTATCTCTTATTGCTGTTTTGTTATGTTTATGCTCGAATTTTATGTAGGTAGTTTCGATGTAGTTTTGGGGATAGTTCTAGGGTTTTGCTTTTGTTTCCGATTTTAATAGCAATTATGCTTTAATATCAATTTTTTGACAGCAATAATTTCAATGTCACACTGTTTCTTACCTTCTTGTTATGTTATCCTTTCAGCTGTTATCATATAAATTCTTTTGTTGAGAGAGATGATATATGAATTAATGTTGTGGTTTATTGTTTAATGATTCCTTTTTATGTTTCAGGCTGCTAACTATCTAAACATCAAGAACTTACTGGATCTGACCTGTCAAGCTGTTGCTGACATGATGAAAGGCAAGACTCCTGAACAAATTCGCGTGCTCTTCAACATCAAGAACGATTTCAGTCCAGAAGAAGAAGCAGAAGTGCGCAGGGAGAATGCATGGGCATTTGAGTAAATCATGTAGGCCGCAACTGTCGATAGCGTAGTAGTATATAAAGTCAGTGACTTGCTTTTTTATTAACTATTTTTGGGTGTCTTTTAGACGTTTTGGTTTTGAAGCTACATAAACTTCAAAGTGTTTTGAATTCATTTTGGTTCAAATGGGAAATCTTGACTCTTTCTTTTTTTTTTTCCCAATTTTTGCGTACTTCTTTTTTGTCATCTGGTTCTGTTTATAACTTATCTTAAGTTTTTCTTTATCAAATTAATGTGTCTTTATAAATTTTCAATGTTCTTCAGTAAGGAACCGTGACCTTATATTTTCTAGGAGGTGTTTATTATTTTATATACGATAAAAAATAATTTTTTATTGAACCAATCCAATCATCTATTAGAAATTGGATAATGCGGAACTGATCTATTCCAAATTGAAATTGAATGATTTTATGCAATGGAATTTCATGTTGGATATCCTTTATAAAAGTATGGATATTAATCATTTTTTATAATTGAAATTGGATAATAATTTGATAATTTAAATTGGTTAGTAATGTGGTTTGGATCGGTTCAAGTTTAATTGGATTTTCATTGTTATATAAAAACCAAACATATCCAATTGGATATTGTAGTTTTAGAACCAAGTCACCAACTAATCCAAATATATTGGATTATCAAGTATACATTGGTTGGTTGGGTGATCGGTTGATATGTATTAATTTGGTTATTTTTTGCTCACCACTCTTGTTAATGGTTGTAATTGTTGTAAAAACATTATTGAAATATTAATATTCAAAATTTTTAATTAATTAAAATAATTTACTTAATTTCAAAGTAATTATTAATTTCTTTGTAAATTTTCATTTCATTTATCTTCATTATCTTATGTTTTTTGTGTCATGATGCTAATCCAAAAAGATCACGATTATTATTAGAAATATTACCAAAACAATTAATGATCTCGAATACTATTTTTAATAGTCTTCCGTCTGAACAATCGTTAACTTTTAAGATCAAAATATTTTACTAACAATCAACAGATAATAGTCATCCAATAAAACTGCCAAACTTCGATTATAATCAAAATTCAGTTCTTAAACAAGTGATCAACTTATTACTTTGTTTAAGATATCTCTCTGAACATGAGACATAAATATAGGTTAATATCAATGTTCAACATTCTATTTCCTGGTTAAACGATTTCTGATAATACATCTGACTTCTAAATTGAACACATTAATTTAGTTAGGGCTTGGTCAAACACTTCAGATGTCAGCACCAAATTATCGAGGGTCCATAAATATCGATTTTCCAGTTACGAGAAGAAACAAATAAACTTTGGCTACATAATTTTTGCCTACCCGTCTAATCACAAACGAACATATTTTTTATGACTATCAGTTACAAATAGTGTTGGAGTAAACCAATATACAACAGATTTTGCAAAAAAAAAAAAAAAAAAAAAAAAAAGCATCTCAATTTGAAGAATAAAAGATATTGTCATATTAGAATTACTTGTGACTAGATCCACGATGTAATCTCTAAGTGTATGTTGTTCCAATACTTAAAATCTTTATTTTCAAGTACTCATGAGTCTTAGCGCAATCTAATTGTGTCACACCCTCGTACTGGACGGCGGAAACGTCTGAGGGCTCGTGTGACTATCAATTGAATTATCATCATAATGAATATACATGAATCATAACACAATCATTGCCAAACATTGCATATTACAACCAACATTGTTCACATCAAGTGCATTGTCTAATATTACATATTCAAAACGTAAATTGTACGAGAGTTGTCATTTCTCAAAATAAGATTCCCAAAAATACACTTGAAGGTTCTTCGATATAATGGTTATTTGAGAATACAAGTTATTTTGAAAACGGTCAACATATATAATGTTGGTGAGTTCATAAGCAAGTTTGATTAAAACTTTGTAATGATGGTGTAACCCAGAAAATCCGATATTTTCTGTAAAAGTTTGTTTACGATATGATGTGATGATCTAATATGTGTGTATATGTGATTTTACAACATATGTAAATGAATGAATCCCAAAACTTTTCCTTGTTTTGCATTTGATGTATGTAAAAGAAAGAGAATGATGATATTTTCCGGAAAATCCGATATTTCCCGATCTATAATAGTATTGTAACAATTGTATTATCGTATGAAATTTTTTGTATCACCACAATATATGAATTTGATTTCCCCTGAAAAGTATAGATGGTAATGGATCTCTATGTGAGTCGTTATAACCATGCATGATAAATGACTAATTTTTCTGCCCTGGCATTTTTCCAAACGTCGGTTTTCATCAAGATTTTGTCACCCTAGACTGACTGAGTCTAACTGTAGCGAACAGCTCAGGTGTGGGGGAGTCACCCCCATATAGATCTATACAAAAACTCTCGCTCTCCCTCCTGGAGACTCTGATTATAACTACAGGCTACAACCAAACACTCAATGGTGTCGACCGATAATTCTCACTAGACCCCAATGATTCCCTCATGAATATGTTTAATGTTAACGTAGTTTGATTTACTAACACTTGATGATACTTGAATGTGAAAGACGCAGCCCAACAAACATGAATAAGGACAATTGCGGCTCATTAAACACGTCAATTATTTTAAGGCTTGATGGCATGCAAACGGGCACGCTGAATGTGACATCCCCAAAATCACGGCCAGAAAAGACCGGTTTTGTTTATACTTTATTTCAAAATCAGAGTTATCTTTTAATAAAAGGGTTGCGGAATTTGTCCCAAAACAATAATATGATAAAGATTTATCAAAAGCATTTCCATAGAAATGTATTTCATTAAAAGACTCGGGATGTCATGTTCGTACAGATCAAAAGTATAAACAGTACAATATAAGCCTTACTACATTATTTTATATCTACAGGCCCATATCCGTAATCCCTCGTCCAAAACATCACACCTATGCTCATGCGCCACTACCTGTAATGCATAAAACTGAGTGGGTCAGGCTTGGGAGCTTGGTGAGCACATAGGGTTTTCAACCCACAATAAATAAGTTTATTAATTTCATCAATCAACAGTAACCCGATTACCCGTTCCCGTTATCCTCACTTTACGTCCCTAAACACCTATCATAAGGGACCTAGCCTAAGGATCATCATCGGGACGAACACTACTGCTAAGGGGATTCCTCAGCAATAAATGTCCTAATAGGCAACCATGTGGGGGATGGAGTACACCGGTGAACACATCGTTCACAACACCTACAGGTTGCGAGCCTGCTAGTGTTCCACTGGACTGTCTAGAAGAGTCCGTGGTCGTCATCTATACTCCGCTAGATGACTGGATCAACAACAACAACATCGAGGCCTCTCATCATTTTATCACACATCACCTATTACATCTACCCATGTTTTACCCCAACATTTTCGTAGATATAAAATACATATACAGTTTAAATCATTGAAAACATGTATAACAACGTTCATCTAACGTAGATAGCAAGTATTCAGATAATATGCACACATAGCACGTAATTTATATAAAATACTTCATATCTATGTGTAAGCTGAAAGTAACTATGCACTCACCGGAAAAGGTGGTGATTCCGAACTCAGACAGCGCTTCGCTTCTTAAAAAGAATTTTTCTTCGACGAAACCTAGTATTATTACCACTAGAGTTTAGTTTATTATTCGTCGAGACTAATTAATAGTCTAGCTATTATTATTATTATTATATAAGCGTCAAAAAAATACTTATATAACCCATAATAATAGCCCAAGTATTTATTATAAGTTCCTAATAACGTTACTATAATTAAATAAAAGTTATATTAAAAATAGCGTAGGCGTAGCTCACTTACAGCGGGTTTTATAGAAAACCGGGCTTTGCTTGGAGCAGCGTTCCCGAGCCGAAAGCTCTTCTTCTCAGAGCCTTCGAGCACTCCGGGGCTTCCGCCTCGTGCTAGGGAGGTTCCCTAGGCTTTTCGGGGGATTTCGGGGCTAGAGAGAGGTTCTAGAGAGAGAGAGAGAGAGAGAGTAAAGAGAAGAAAGAATGGGAAAGGTGTGAAGAAAATGAGGGTGGGAGAGTGGTATTTATAGGGTGAAATGTGGCTGAACTTGGTGCCACATGTCACCATCTGGTGGCAAGCCTTGGGGAGAAAGCAATGGCCAAGATTGTGCCACATCACCCATTTTCGCACAGCACACTTCCGACTTCTAAAATCCGTAACTTTCACATACGACCTCCGTTTTTGACGTTCTTTATATCCACGCGTAGGTAATAATAAGATCTACAACTTTCATTTTGACACCGTCAGCTAATTCTCGACCGATCTTAAATTTAACAGTACAAGGAGATTATACTGTTAAACGTCTGCGTAAAATTAATAACTTCTACATACGGACTCTGTTTTTGTCTGTCTTTTTACCGTTGATTTCCTATTAATGAGATCTTCAACTCTCATTTACGTTGCGTAAGCCAAAAACCGCTCGAACTAAAATTCGAGTTTCAGGCCGTGCACTGCTAAGCCGAATCTTAGAAAAATCATAACTTCTTCATACGAAGTCAGATTTGGGCGTTCTTTTTATCGATGTTCTTAGTTTAACATATTCTACGACTTTTGTTTAGATTGCTAAGGCTAAAAAGTCTTCTATCGTAAATTCACTATTTACGTCTCCCGGTGTCGTGCCGGTTTTGCCGTAAAACTTCGGCGGGCCATAACTTCTTCGTTATAGCTCGGATTTCAGCATTCTTTATATGTACAGAAACCTTGAGACATATTCTACAACTTTATGTAGAGATATCGGGATTATCTCACACTTTAATTTTGACGCTCATTTTTATTCTTTATTAATTATACATTTATAATTAAATAATAAACACATAAACACACATAATTCACATAATACTCAAATATTTCATATTTATTACTTCAAAAAGAGTTACAATAGTTGACCTAGACTATTACATTGACAAAAATGTTTAGCCCTGAAAACCCGGACGTTACACTGAAGCCCATTAAGCATACAATGATTCTCTCTAGGCAAAAAAAAATCACATGTAAATATGTCATTAAGGCCTATTAACATGTAAAAATTAATTTAGGCCCATTGAGCATGTCATTGGGTCACTAAAGCCCAATATACATGAATTAATTATATTGGGCCCGATAAACCTGCAAATGGATCTCGAAGGCCTAATAAGCATGTATTAAAAGTATCAGGCCCAATATTGATACCATTGTTCTATTTTTGTATATTTGATGTGGTATAATGTTTTTATAT